CGTCAGATTCATAAAGTTGAATCGATGAGAAATATCTGAAGAATAAGTGCATTTTTTGCGCCCTATCAATAAAGACCAGCTCATTGGTGTAACTCTGGGAATGCGTTCGAATGAATTCCGTGTTTATTTCAGTGCGAGCGATAGGCAAATGAACGAACATCAGCAACAAAAATTCAATGCGATTCGTGCATCAGCGATTCGTGCAGCGAATGAATACGAAGCGCAGTATTTCGGTTTCTCACCGAAGGCATTCACAGATACGGGTTGGTTGATGGGCTGCATCGTTTCCGTTGGATTAGTGTTGAAATTTCTTTGGATGGTAGTGAAGTGGATTGGAAATTGTTGAGAGTAAATGGAGGAGGAAGAAATTCCAGAAGAGAGTAGTAGTTTAAGATTTGAGGCTATCCTATCTTCAACGGATTGATTGCAACTTGATTCATTTAAAAGTGCGCAGAAGGATCGGTGTGCATCTTTTTAGGTGCCAACAAATTCATTCAGTTTTGTAAGTAAGGAGACTGAAATGCCTAGCTGAAGTTAGCAACGTAATGAATGTGTCTATCCGATGATTTCAGTCTACAACATCTGTTTGGATGCGTGGAGCAGAGTGGTGGAGAGTACACTCTACCCACAAGTTGTTGAACTGATTGATTTGCGTGATATAGGAACACCTGAACAACAACGATTATTGAAGTCGCACTTAGCGACAGTGATCTGTAAGAAAAATATCGTCGATTTGCTCTTCAAAAAGGTTGAGGTATGTGTCTGTTCACTTGAACATACTTTGTAGTATCATTTTGAGTAGTTGATTGATTGATTGGTAATTCGTCGTGAACATAATGTTTGTTGCATGCTCATTTCACCGTTCTTTCGCAACGGATGTTTACGAGAGCTTTCAGGTTGTTCATATATAGAGTTGTCCTATAANTTTCTAGAGATATATAATTGTTTAATGTTGACTGCGTGAGATTATGTGCATTGAAGGATTACACACTGCAATATTTGTTTCGTATACCGGACAATGTGACACTGCCGGAAGATGTGTGCAATTTGATGGTGAACGAACAAGAGGATGAACACGGAGAATTGGAACGACGTGTGAAAAATCTTAAAAAAGAAATCGCCGATGTTAGTGTCGCTAACAATAAGCCTGAGAGTGCATATACACCAACTTTCAATTTTTGAATATTCATCTAATCAATCCAGTTCTACGAAATTGCATTTTTTGTTTGCATTGTTTCCTTCAATTAAACTTTCCGCATATTGTAATATTAGGCCTGAAAGTATGTATGTATGTTCAATAGTTGTATAATTGATTTTAGTTGCGAATGCTTTATAGATTCGAGTGGAGAGCAATTTGCTCGACGATGAAATAAAATTAGCTGAGGGCGTTCTAAAGGTACTGAAAACGATTCGTAAATGCAGAGCTGAACTGGGAACAAAACCAGAAGCAGAATGCCGCATCCATCAATGAACCAGAATTTATGCAATAATTTTTGATGTACCATATGCTGATTTCTCATTAAAATATTTGCTTCAGTATCATCTCATTTCACATGTTCATGGAACCTCTTCTATTGATGTTTTTCTACAATTTCGTTCAGTTCATTTTTTTGTTTTCTCCTTAAATGTTAAGCAAAATTCAAGCTGTATAGTAGAAGTGAATTGAAAGTGTTGCTAGCGAATGTACTCGGCGATTCAGCAGTCATCGTTCTCAATGTATTTTGCTAATAGTTCCTTTCCATGCTATTACATTTTGCTGATAATTCATGTATAATAAAGTGCTTTGACAATTCTTTTGTACGCATTATGCAACTTATCAAAATCACTCAAATTACACGAATCATATTGTTGCTAACATTTTCAACGATCAAAATCATCACGTGAAGATGGCACATAAAAAATTTTCGATTCAGTTTATGATATGCAACGGTATATTTCTACACTAATTCTAAGAGAGGGCCTGAAGAGCAGATGTGGCTCAATCAGTAGATGGGAATAAACCGATGACAATATGATGACAAACGAAAACTTATTTGAACGATATCCGACATAGCAAATCGTAAAATGGCCTCAATTTTGCCATACACGCACACACATATAGAACGGGCACACGAATGACGGATCTATTGTTTTGTTTAAACGGTTACGACGAATCATCAAATGATCAAAGCGATTCAGGTCACGATAAGCAATAGCGTAAACTGTAATTGCAAAGAAATAAAGTTTCTCGAATTCAGCACACCTGATCACTATACCGTTAAATAGGAATATCCTGAGCAGCATTGTCGAACTACCTGCATCATTGAGATTGATCAGCAACCCATATTTTCTTGGTATTATTGGATGCAACAGATTCTCGGCTTTCAGAATAATACATTTATTGTCGTGGGATTTTGCACACTCATGGAGATTTAGCTGATAGAAATACAGGTTTGATGCAAACAAACCTACCGTCTTCTCAGCTTTGCCCGGGAACATGTAAATGCTTATATATCGTTCGATTCAGCAGAATCTCTGCATTATAAAAATGAAAATTTGGTCGAGAAATTCCGCCTCTACGAGAAGATATCGCTATTTTTCTGATGCTATAGGTGTTACTACATTCAAGCCTACCGTACTCTCAGCTTGACCAGCAATATATCAAAATTTTCACACTCATCGATGGAGGAGAATCTCTGGATGAAGAAATTCATATATTTCATCGAGCGATTTTGCTTTGTTGAGGAGATCAAACTATTTTTTTAAAGCTA